GTCCATGGGGTCACGAAGAGTCGGACACGACTAAACGACTAAACAAATGAACGAGCCCTGAGTTACAGGCAACCGCATCCACACACCTCCCGTGCCCATATGAGAGAGAAAGACAGAAGACGAGTGGGGCGTTCGGTGGAGCGCTGGGGCTGCAGGAGGCAGTTCGCCCACCCGCCCCTGTGACCCATCTTCCCCACCACCGCCAGAGCCTTCCTCCCTGGACCCTGCCGGGCCCGTCAGGTCCTTCCAGACAAACAGCCCTGCCTTCCGATCCCAGCTGCCTCCAAGCAGCCCTTCTGGAATGTGTCGAAAGGAAGCCCCGCAGATTTCCATCCGGATTACGCCCACAGAAGTAACAAATAATATGCACATTTCCTGTAACCAGTTCTCCCCCCCTTTTTTTTTTTGCAATCAGGTTCTGACGATATTAAATTTCAAAAGTAGCACAATGAGAAGAAACCAAGAAACAGTTTTCTAGACTACAGAAAAAATTACTTTCAAAGACCATTTTGAAAGCATTTTCCCGGGAATCACCGAGGTTCTACTCGGCTCTCATCATCATTCCCAAGGTGCTTCTTTAAGTAAAGAACCCTGATGAAAAACCCTGGCGAGCCCCCAAACTCTCTTCCAAGGCACAAAAACTGGCCTCCAAAACCCAGCCCGGCACCCTAGCTGGGCGCGCGCGGCTGACGCGAGAGATGGGGAGACTCAAATAACTCAGGTGGGAAAAGTCGCACGGCGGCCTGCCTCCCCACCTCCCGTCCCCCCCCCCAGGAGCACCAACCCCAATGCCTGGCTCTCTGCTTCATCCCAGTGGAAGAGAATCTTCCCAGTGGATTTACACCTGTGCAAAACAGGAGAAGGTGCAGCACAGTCGAGTTCGGTTAGTGATGAGATAATAAAAATTCATAGCACTTATGCAGCACTTCACCCAGGATAATTAATTAGCCCTCACAACCTCCTCACTGAGAGTTAGAAATGAGATGCACTTACAGCTGCAAGGATTTATTTGAACATGGGCCACTAGAGAGAGAGCCAGATCCTGACACGCACACACGCACATGCACACACTCCCTCCCAGGGTGGCCTCTCACATAAGGGTGCAGGTGGCAGGGGAAGGTGAGAAGAGGATATTTCAAAGGTTAATTATGCTCCTCCAAGTTGGAACTGACTTCTAGCGAGCCTTAAGAGGGCTTTCAAGGCAATTAAGGTACTTAAGGAATGGTTTTACCACTTCATGGCCGAGTGTGGATTCGAACACGGGTCCATCGCTCTATCCATTACACACACTCCCCAGGTTCAAATGTTAATTAAACCTACTGAGAAGGAGGAGGCCATTCGGCTGGAGACACAACCCGCCCCTACGTGAAGAGGGCATGGGGGTTGGGGGTGGGCAGGATCGGCTGCCAGCTCTTAAGAGGTCTCTTCCCCATCTCTGCCATTGCAGCTACTAGGGGGGGGTCCTCCTGAAGACACCGGCCATTTGGGTGGGTGGGTGGGTGGTTGGGGGGAGAGACAGAAGAAGGACTGTGCACTGCTCTCATGGCAGGGGGGTCGTGGTGAGGACCAAAGCTCAGCCAGGACGGGTATTTCAGGATCGGGGGGGGGAGGTGTGTCACATGAGGATGATGATACTGTGCATCGGTGAGCAGACCCTGGGCGCTTGCCAAGGGTCGCCCCATGGACAGCGCCTTGCAGCAGTCAACATGCGATGCAACGAAGGCACGGGTGGCTGCTCTTAATTAAGCCCGGTCGACGCAGGGGGCGGTGAGAGCCGGCACAATCGGTGGAGTGGCTCCAACACCGGTTCTCCTCCTCACCTCGGCCACCTGGGGATTCTAGGTTATGCCTGCAGCGTCAAGGAGCAGTCCTGGGGAGCGGCCCCTTCCCAAAGAAACTCCACACATATCCCTTGAGCCGCCATCGGGGCATGTCTGCGCTCAGCTTGGCCTCCCCGGAGCAGATCCTCCGAGCCCCGTCCCTGCGCTGTGAAAGGAAACCTTCCTGGGGTGGAGCTCCCAAAGACCCCACTGATCCCAACGCCCTTCACAAGGGAGGCCACGAGGCCATCTTCCGGGGGGGGGTTATCTGTAGAAGAGGGGGGGCTGCGTATCCCTGGGTTGGGTTTTAGAGGGGCTGAGAAGGGACCCACCCGAGAGCTGTAAAGGGGTTCCTCTCCAGACCGCACGGGCCATGTGGGCCTTCTGCTTTTTTGTTGTTATTTAGTCGTTAAGTCACGTCCGACTCTTGGTGACCCCGCGGACCAGAGAGCACGCCAGGCCCTCCTCTCTTCCACGGCCTCCCGGAGTTGGGTCAAATTCATGTTGGTCGCTTCGATGCTTTGTAGGGTTGAGTAAATACTTAGGTGGAAGGTTGGGGGAAACAAAAAGTGCCGTTTGCTGCAAATAGACCTCTTCACTCTTCATCAACAGTGTAAAAGAAAAACCATTATTCCCTCAAAGGGATGCAGCTCGGCCTCTGGAAGATTTGCTGGGCCTGAGCCAGCAGGAGTGGCCCTTCCTGCTGCTCTCCTGATTGAAGGGAGTGCGGCCGGTAATAAATCCAGGGCCATTAAGAGGCCAAGCCTCTTTGCACTTCCGCCACAGAAGAAATGGAACCACTTCGAAGCAGGGAGCTGTCGGGGCTGCGTCTGGAAAGACGAAAGGGTGCGAAGTCCACACTGGCCCCCTTCCTCCTCCTCCTCCTGCTGTCAAGACTGGCAGAAGAAAATGAGACCAGGAAGGGGAGAGCACCTCTCCCCGAGAGCAGGAGGGCCGAAGGCACAGCCTCACACCCACGACCGACCGTCGCCTTGCACAGGAGGAAACGTGCCTGAGAAGTGGGTGAAGGCATCCGTTTAGCTCTTCTACGGGTGCCTCCGTGAGCCGTCATTTTAACAACCCCCGGCTGATGCTTTGGGGTCAGGATGCTGGAACAAGGGGGCCCACAGGCGGGGACAAAGAGAGAGGAGCCCTCCCGACCGCAGTCGTCCCCCCGTGTATGTTGGCCACGGACAGCTTGGCTCAGCTCCACCGTGGGTGTCAATCGGCAGGGCTGCCTCTGGAAATGTGCCAGATGCT